AATAGTTTGTATGTAAACAACATATCGGTAGTAAAATAATAGTAATTGTATAGTCGTAGTTAGTATAGTTTCTTTAAATCATTTATTTCCATATTAGCATCACCAAGGCAATAAGACAATATAATTAAATAGACAATAATTAAAACAAATGGTAATTAATGAAAAGAAATAATCAAGTAATTACCAAGTAATGAATTATGATTAAATAAATTTATATAATTTAATAGAAAATAAATTTGAGAAAACCGAGAGTTACAGATTCAATTATTTTAGTTCCAAGAATTTAAATAAAATAATGAAACATGAAAAATTTGTAATGCATTCCGAACTAAAACGTAGGACCTAATCATCGTTATTAAACTTCCATAGCGTAATTTATGCTTAAATGCATTAGAGAGAAATAGTACCTCGTTAGCTTGCATTCATTGCATTTCGAATATAAGCTAACAACGATAATATTCTCAACCTATTAAATCCTACGTTAGGGGTCTTACATCATTGTTATTAACTTTAAATAAAAATTAAGTATATATATATTTGTTGTGTAATTAACGGTAATAGTTATGAATTTTATTTTAAGTATTTGACTTTATATTTAATTGATTGTTTAAAAAATGATTACATTTTCTTTCTATTTTTTTATTCTTAAATATTCAATTTTATAATATTCAATGATTTATTGTGTAATTTTTTTTTTTACATTTTCTACCCTATCTTGCTATTAGTACACCTACTTTCACTTTATTTCAATCTAGTTCTTGAACTTTCATTTTTTTTTGTTAATTTTTTTATGCTTGTCTTTTTTTATTATACCTTTTAAACACTTTCATTAAATTTTATTTTCCCTAATAAAAGAACCCTCCAAAAAATAATATTGCAATCGGATTGATATTTGTATATCAAAACTATGTTTTTTTATTTATTAAATCTTAAATTATAAAATTTTGATTAAAGAACCATTTCAATTAAATCTTTAATTAAAGAACGATTTCAATTTTTTTCAATTACATTTTTAGTCCATTTTTTTTATTTTTTGAATGATTAAATCATTATGCATGTTATCTTCCTTCAATTTTAATAATTAAAATATAACAATTACTTTTAGCATTTATATTCGAAGTAACCATAAATAAAATCAATTACGAGTAAATTAATCTAAAGTAATTACATTAATTCAAATTTAAATAATATATAAATTTAAAAATAACAACAAACAACATAAAAAACAAACAAACAAACAAACAAAACTAAGCTAGTAACTAATTCAAACGAAAAACAACATCACAAATTAACAATAAATTAAAAAAAAAAAGTTAACCAACCAATAAATTAGAAATATCTTAAGAAATAATCAACAAAATTTAAATAAAGTACCTAAAATATATATATATATATATATAAATTAACTCAAAACAAACGACTAACAAAATTCAACTAATAATTAACACAAATAAATAATTAATTAATTAACAAATTTAAAATAAAAAATAATAATTAAATAATTAAATTTTAACCTAAAAATTAATAACGAGATAAATTAACAATAAATCAACCTTAACTAAATTACATTAATAAAGTTCAACCTAAAAATTAACGTAATTAATTTTTTTAGGTTAAAATTAACATAAAAATTAACCTAAAAATTAACATAATTAAAAAGTAACACTTAAAAAAATTAATCTAATAATTAACAAAATTAAATAAATAATCAATAAATTTATGTTAATAATTAACATACAAATTAACATAAGAAAGAAATTAAAAACATTCAAATGATTATTAAAGAAATTAAACTGGTAAGTGACAAAATTAAACAAACAATTAATCAACTAACAAATAATATAATTAACATAAAAACTTATAACATTCATTTAATTTTTTTAAGAAACAAAAGAGTTGGAGAGAAAAATTTACCAAAGAGATCAAGGAGAGAGAGAGCAAAGATTGCATCGGATTTTGAGGGAGAATGATGAGCCTCACCTAGTTGAACGATCCGGGGACGTAATGGTTGGCACGAGGCGTCATGGTATTTGGAGTCGGCTAGTTTTTGGTGGAGGAGAGGGAGAGTCCGAATGAACATGAAAAAGAGAAACTATCCATATATATGGTTTGTTTTTAGCAATGGACATGATTCTATTGCTAATTTGTCACTAATTAGCGAATGAAATGCATTTTCGTTGCTATTTTGAATTCGAAAACACATCGATTTGTCTAAAATTTTCCCAAAAATTGCCAAATTAGCGACAAATTTGGTAATCCGTCCCTATTTAAATTTTAAATTACTAACAAAATCCAATTTCATCTCTAATTTGAATAATCCCTACCCGTATGGAATTTCAAATTAGTGATAGATTTAAAATCCATCACTAATTTGGGACACAAATTAGCAACAAAATCCAATTCCATCACTAATTTGAATAATCCCTACCCATCCGGAATTTCAAACTAGTGACGGATTTAAAATTCGTCGTTAATTTGGGATTTCAAAGTAGCAATAGATAACCATTCCATCGCAAATTTGAATCCCATATTCAACCGGGATAGCTTTTCTTAGTGACGAAAGCAATCCATCGCTATTTACTAACGGATAACGATGGATCTTGTTGCTATAGCTAAATTAATGATGAAAATCCATCACTATTCCACCCCCGAATGTGGTGCTTTTTTTAATCACGTTATTTAGCGATGGATTGAATTTTGTTGCTAAGTATCCCTCGCTATTTCATCACTAGTCACTCGCAAAATTACTTTTTTCTCTTCGTCACTAATCCCTCATTAATTTATCTCCAATTAGAGACAGAATAGTATTCGTCAATAATTGTAAATTTTCTTGTAGTATATATACATATGGCTTTATCCGAATGGATATGCATTAAGACTACTTTAGAAAATTGAGATTAGCCTTTCATTTCTTAAAGCATCAAAATACATTAACTTGCTACCATATCAAAAATAATAAAGATCAAAGTTAGGTGTCATTTGATACATAAATGAAATATCAAAAATAAAAATATAAAAATTGAAATAAAAATTAAGAAATCAAAATGAAATTTCTATTTTTATATTATATTTAGAATAGCAATAAAGAATCGAAATGAAATTTAATTTTTTTAATATTTTATTTTTAATAAGAATAAAAATTAAAATTAAAACTATAATTTGATCAATTATAATGATGTAAAAAAATAGAAGTGATTATGATTGTAGTGATGGTGATGGTGAAGATGATGATGAGAAGGAGATAGTAGTAATAATATTACAATAATAGTAATAATATATTTAAAAAATTGATACCATCACAAGCAGTGGCGATGGAAGAAAGTGGTGCTTGGTGGTGATGGTAATAGTAGTAAAGGAGTGACGATAGAATAATAATAAAAATACTAATATTTTTATCATCATATTCAATGGTGGTAATGATTGTGGTATGATAAAAGTGATGGTGGTGGTTGAAGAGGAGAGATACGAAATAATAATAATAATAATTTTTTTACCACCACCATTAGAGATAGTGGTGGTGGTGTTATTATAAAAGTGATTGTGGTGGTAGTGCTATTATAAAAGTGATTGTGGTGGTTGAGAAGAAGTAGTCATAGAATAATAATAATAATAGTTTTTTTTAATTTTTTTTTCTATCACTATTGTTAATGGAGAAAGTGGCGGTGATGATTGTGGTAGATAGAATAATAATGATAATAATAATTTTTTTATGACCACTACCAATAGAGGCGGTATTGGTGGTAGACATAGTTTATACACAATAAAAATAAAAATAATATATCATTATTTTGAAGAAAAAATTATTCTCATCACTTTCCATATGAGAATGAAAATATGTTTAATTTTTATTTACATTCTCATTCTTTATTCTCATTCTCTCTCCATTTATTTCAACCAAAAAGTTAATAAAACTTTCATTCTCACTCGTTTCATTTCGATAACTAAAAATCACCTTAATGTTCTACTAGTGGGAATTAATGGCTTACATTTTTTTGGAGACTGAAGTGATTTTGGTAGTGTATCAATACAGTAAATTACCTTATTTGAAATATATCCAAAAAAAGGTATGGCTCCCAAAATATATATATCTCGTCCTTTGCTAGGGAGAAAAATAAAAAAGGAACCTCAAATTTGTCCAAAACGTAAGATTCTATTATCGATTGAGTCCCTAACCTTTAAATTGTATCAATTTTACCCTAAATGTATGACCTCATTATTGATTGAGTCATGAACCTTTTAATTCATCACAACAAATTTCAAGATAGACGATGAAAATATTCATCCCCAAACATTCAAAATTCATCAATTAATATATTTTGGAATGCAAGTTGGGTGATTTTGTTTCAATAAAAATTTTAGGGTAAAATTGATACAATCAAAAAGCTTAGGATATTCGTTTGAAGTAAAATTATTACAACAAAAAAATTTGAAACTCCATGGATAAGAGGGTCATATATTTATGATAAATTTGAGATTTTCCTAAAACAAAATTCTCCTGTTATTGTTTCTTTTTTCCATACTAATTATTTTTATATACAAACAAAGCATTGGTTTTATCATTTATTTATAATGACTTTTTTAAAACTTTCCTAGCAAAAAAAATAAAAAATAAAAACTCTTTTCTATCTTATATTTTTATATATATTTCATTCGTATGAGTAAACCAGTGATTATTTGGTGATTATTGATTTGATGATTGCTTAGCTGCAACAAGATCATCCAATATCTTATCTTAGGAGAACAACATCCGTTGTTGATTCAAATAGACTCTCGCATCGAAATGGGCGTTTCTTTTTAGAATAACGCTTTGACGTGCCTCAACCTTCTTTAAACCCTACGATCTTCATACATAATATAATCAATTATTAAAATATTATATTTACTTTGTTGATTATTTATAATAGAAAACTCTAACCTCTTGCGCAGAAGAACGAATTGCACTGGAAATACCATGTGAATGATCATTGCACAATGGATTGACTTCCAACCGATAACACCTTCTAATTGACATCAAAACCCCACTTGAGGAAGAACTCTTTAGTCCGTCTAGGGAATACCAGATGGTAGAAAATATTTTCACTAAACACAGCAACGTCCTGCCAGAGAACTGATAAAGAAAGCTTCGTATCTCCCTGACAGTTTACTGAGGATGAAAGCAGAAAAACACCAGCAGGGGATGCTAATTGTAACTGTTATCCATCATTTTGTAACTACATCTATATTGTTCTTAACTCGAAGCACATTTTACAATAATCAGGTCGTAACAAACAATATTCTGGAACAAAAACTGACGTACTTGGACAAATAAAGGTGAAAACAAGAGGGGAGATTGACCCTCGCAATACAGGAACAGCGAAATGAAAAATAAGCAAAAATCTGGTGCACTTTGTTGCTTGAATTGACATTCTTCTGTCGTTTATTTCTTGTGATTACGATTTGAGTGAGATCGACTAGAGCCTTCCTCGATCTCCTTACTTTCTCATCATCAGTTTCAGGTAAAGAATCAATAGCTGGTGCAGCAAGGTTTGCATGCTCTGCAGCTAGTTCCCTTGTCCTTTGTATTCCATGGCTCTTCCCAAGGTGCCTGAATTTCATAAATAGAATAGCCCGGATAAGTTGGCATTAATTTCCAAGGAAAAAAATTGAGAAAGAGAAGGTCAGCACATCAATTAATTATATAGTGTGCCACCCAAAATTTTAGCCACACTTTTGTCACAGTCCCAAGGGACGGGACCGTAATCCCAAGAAGTAAGAAAATCAAGTTAAAGGACTGGACGATATGAAACAGGATGCTTCAAACGTTTAGATTTTTCTGTTGAAGGAGAAATTTCGATAACAAAGAACTAGTTATTTTTTTGCATCTACATTACATAAAAAGATATTGACTCAAGATTGCATAATCTCAATCTTATTCTAAACTCTCAGTTAATTCATATATTGGCCTAAACTATTGAAAATTGTTACCGAAATAAAAAAAATATACTATAATTGATTAAGAAACAAAGCTTCAAATGCCACATTAACGAAGTATACATTTGTTTCAAGAGACATATTAACATGACAAATGAAGGTCTGTGTGGGCGTGGGTGTGTGTGTGTGTTTCTTGAAAATAATGCAAGCTTGTTAACTGTTTAATGAGGTTGTGCTTACAACCATTTAATATCTCCAGCAATCAAGGTCTCATATTGGAGATGGATGAATTACATGGCAAATGTGAGATAATGAACCCTTTCCAAGGGAAGTAGAAGTGCCTGTGAAATCGAGAACATCATCAACCAATTGATATGCCAATCCCTGGAAAAGGAAATACTTAGATGGTAGCTAGAAACAGAAAAACCTAATCAGAAATCATGGAAATCTATCTATCCACTTGTCCACCACGACTAAAACACGACCTAGAGCAGATAGAAGAGTTCCATTCTGCAAAAGGGAAAAATTGGAAATCTAGAAGCAGCTTGTATCATAATTGGTTCTCTATTAGGAAAAGCTTGAGGTCAGCCTTTCAACCCCCCTCCAAAAAAAAAAAAAAAAAAAAAAACATTTTGACCAAATTAGGAAATTAGTACATCAATGAAACCTTTCACTAATACAATTTTCCATACGAAAAGACAGCCAGTATTACGTAACTTGCAAGTATACTGAGCCACTGATGCATCGACAGCATACTTGAGAGTGAATCCAGTAAAAAAGCCTTTTTGTTGAATTATTTAGCAAATATAATAAATTAAGAAGATATTTACAAACCAGATTTTTTCCGTCCTCAAAAGCCAACATTGTAACTTCTGCTGTTTGCCCTGCAAGAAGGGCAATAACCTTGCAGTTATTTGAAATCAAACATTTAGTCTTGCAGTGCCTCTTTTGCATGATCACGGAGCATAAATCCTCACATTTGTTTTCGAATTTCAAATCAAATTCGGTTAACTAATAAAAATTGTAGAACAAATCAAATCCATTTAAGTTGAATTATCTGAGTAACCAAGTTGATCAAGAGAAGGAAAAAAAAAAAAGGACGAATAAGAATGGCCGGTGATGTTTGGTTATTTTTCATTGGGTCCGTTTGATTTTTATTATATGTACAATAACTTGAAGCCATAGACATTTACTCACATTTCACATTTTTAACTTTGTTATTTAATTAACTCGGATTGAATTGGATCAGTCGGTTAAATCAGAATTCTAATGATTCGGTCACTAAATCAATTAAGATTGATTTTTTTATACCAATAACTCCAGTCAAAATCAGATAAAACTATTGATAAAAAAGCATGTCAAATCTGCAAACCAACTAGGAATAGCACTAAATCAAGGTACATCCTAACTCAACTACCCAAATGGCAACCTAAATTCCAAATAACAGGTCCACAATCAAACTTATCACTAAGCTTAAAACACAATATTGTACTTTTTTTTGTAATGAGTTGTGAACTCACCAAGGCCGCAACGCAATAGTAAAAAGAATTGGATAATATTTTGAAACTATTCCTATAGCATCTTCAGATACGTAACACATCCTAAAAGGTGCAGGCAAGAGAAGGGGAAAATGGTGCAACCCTAATATCCTTCAAGAATAGCAAATACCCCACAATCACAGACTCCCATATTCTCATGCCCCACCCATGGACATGTTTTAGGTGAGGAATTTTTTACAAATTAAACCAGAAATATATAGTAAAATACATATGTACACATATGTATAAGCACATAAAGAAAAACAGAACATCTTGGGCAACAAGAAAAGAGTGCTACATCTAACCTTCACTAAGGAAGTGCTCTGGTGATGAATATGATGTTTGAAAACATGCAACGAAGGTACAGTCGAAGAATAAGCTTATCTGCAATCGAAAACCTACTAATCACCAGAAACAAAGACAAGTAGAACATAAATGCTCAACACATATGTAAGACAGCCATAAATCTCAATCAATTCAAGCAAACCCAATATGACTAATTAATAATTTATTTTGGTTTAATGTCAGGAGCTTCTTTAGCTAGAACTTCAGCTGTATTTATTAGTATGAGCAAGATCTGACTTATTTGAAATGAATAGTGTCATAACTCAAATTTTAGATTACTATCTTGTTTTATTGTTTAGTTTAATAAAAAATTTATTATTATTAAAATTAAATTTAAAAAAAAAAACAGAAAAACAAAAGAAAACAGAAAAATTAAAAAAAATAATGAAAAAAAAAACCAAAAAGAAATTAGTTAATTTTTTACTTTTAAGTATCCAATTGTGATTTATTTTAGAGTACTATAGGTCAATTTCAAATACCTAAAGCTAAGGGAAGCTATTGAGCAAAATTAAGAGGCAATTAGGGACAATTGAAACTAAAAGGACAAAAATAGCTATTACAAAGGGCTTAATTGTAGAAAAATTAAAATGAGCATGGACTAAATCAAAAGAAGGAAGCGGACGACAGGACGAACTTGGCAATTTTGCCACGAAAGACCTATCGTCTACTAGTGGAATTAAATGATACGTTCCACTGTTCCTCTTCTTAGCAGTGGCATGTAAGGAACTTTGTTACAGAATGTTACAAACGTCCCTTGATCCCCACCTTTTTCAGACTTCCACTCTCCACAACCTTCCCCACAACTCTCACAACTCCTGCTCCATTAACTACCAGTTGCCTATTCTCCATAACCATTATGAACATATATAAATAGTAGCAGGAACGAACAAAAGGAGGAGGAGGAACATAGAGAGGGAAAAATATAACACGAAAGGGAAAAAAAAAAAAAAAGCATAACAGAGAGTCAGGGAAAAGGATATAAGAAAAAGAGAGAACGGGAGAGAAAGAGAAAAGAAAAAAATAACGACAGAAAAAAGGGTAAAACAGAGCAAAGAAAAGGCAGTAAGTGACTTGAGATTTCAAAGGACTAGACATCCTCCGAGTTTGAAGATTTTGCTGGTTAAGTTGTGCAGTATTCAAGGTGAGGGTTAGGAGTCTAGGATCAGCAAGAACCTCGAGTTCAAATCCTACTATCTCAGACCGAAGCAAGAAGATGACAAATGGAGGTTTATCATCCGGTTTCTCCATTCAAATTAATATCACTCTTCAAGCATGACAGGTAAAATCTCTTATCTCTTTTATTTTTCAGTCCCAGTATATTTGAGGTCTATTTTGGAATAAAGGAAGCAAGATAACAGTGAGCTTCACTGTCATCATGAATGCAGTATATCATGTAGAGGTGTTGTCTCGGTGATGAGAAGAGATTGAGGAGGATCTTGAGATAGCTATGTGAAACCTAGCATGGAGAAGATTTTTTTAGTGGAATGTTGAGTTGAAACTGCTAGGTTTAGAAGGGAAAAAAAATGAACATAGGAGAAATGACTGGATGAACAAGAAGAAGATAGGGACGTAATTGATGCTATTTGATCTTTAAAAAAAAAAAAAAAAGGTTTTTGGGTTTTTTTTGTGGGCTTGATCCAGGTCCTGTAAAATAGAAGATGTTGGATTGGACAAATCCCGACCCACACAAAGGGAAAGATGGGCTGGTTTCAGCCCAGCCCAATCCTAGTTCAAAAAACATGTTATTTAGTTTATTTTATTTTATTTACTCATATATTTTTTTATATATATATTTTAGATGATTTATTTTGAACGATTATTTGAGTGGTTTTTATATTGTTTAATTTAGATTTTTTTTATTGTAGTCTTTTAAAATGCCACTTAGTTAATTTTAATTAAATTTTAACTTTCAAATTTTAATTTCTACAATTAGTTTAGATAATTAAATGATAGATGATTTATCAAGTCTCCTAATTTTTAAGGATCGATGATGATTCTCTATCGAAAAAAATATAAAAATAATGATTAATTCTTTTTATTTGGATTTCATTTTGTAATTAGATTAACGACTAATAGGTGGGTAAATTGTCGAGTCTCCTAAGTTCGTAGGGACTAATGACGGTTTTCTCTAGAATGTTGATAATTAGATTAATAGTTAGTAGATTGGTGAATTGTCGAATCTCCTAAAATTTTAGAGACCGATGATAGCTTTCTTTAAAATGTCAATAATTAGATTAAGCAATCAATAGGTGGATAATTATTGAGTCTCCTATTTTTTATGGATCGATGACGATTTTTCCACCAACAAAAAATAAAAAAATCATAAAACCTTTTACAAAGTCTCTTATATGATAGAAATTGTTGTTAGTCAAAAAAATCATTTTTAATAATCGGGATGTTCTTTGACATACCGATTATGTCGAGGCTTAGAGTGGATTTGATATTTGAATCAACATGTCTCCCGATGAAGGGGTCCAACGATCATTTTAATACGATACCGTGCTAAAAAATAAAAAAATATTTTGACTTGGAAAATTAGAGTTTTTGTAAAAAAGAAAATAATTTGACATAAATAAAATATTTTAGGAGATGAATTTAGGAATAAACCAAGCATAGTACCTTTATTAGGAAAGGGTGTCTTTGGGTGGTCAATATCTTCCCAAAGCTTAACTAACTCCTTACCTTAGAATCTCCGAACTAGTGTCTATTTTAGGTTCCTAGTTCTTTCAATACTAGGTAATGACTCCAAACTTGTAAGTAACTCTATAAATATAAAATCCTAAATTTTTTAAGAGTCTCATCCGATGTCGAGTAGCGACGGAATGGCCACTCCACTACAGATTGTAGAGTTACGCCATAGTTTTAGTCCTTTGAATTTACTTTTGTTATTTATTTTTATTTTCAAGTCTTTAAATTTCAAGTTATTTATTTTTTTTAATTTTTTTTTGTACATATTTCAAAGTCATTTGTTTAAAACTATAAATATTTTAATTTTTATAGTTTATTTTCTTATTGTATTTTATTTGAACTCGGGTTAGATATTTGCTTTGTATGATTGCACACACCACAAGAAAACCTATAAAGCTTTGGACTCGAGCTAAAACCCGTCATTGTTTAGATAGAGAGATTTGGAGGCAAGTATGACGAAAGTCTACCGATGATCTTCCGGACTCTTGTTTGGACTAAAACTCACCTTATGCATAGGAAATGATAGCATGATATTACCTTACCTCCCGAAGCATTAGGTTAGAGGCTCAATTATGCTATTAATAATTTAGACAATCCAAAAATTTAAAAAAAAACTTCAAGATTAGACAAGCTTCACCAAAACCATAGATAAGCTAGATCATATCCACTATGATTGACCTATTAAGACACGAATCATTTTTAAATGATATCTATTTTAACCCTCGGCGTTTGCGGGTAATCAATCAAAAACGGTATCTAACCTAGTTCAACTTATGCATGTATACATTGTATATTCATTGTACATATTTTTGTCTCTAATTTTTTTTTTAAGCTTTCGAAACATAGGTCACTCTATCAAATCTGGACTCCTTCCACTACCCACTATACCTAACTCGGATGTCAACGAAAGGAGATTGAGGAAAGAATACGGTTAGGATAGACCAATCAATAGGAAATAGAGACTCTCAAGAATAATGTTGCTTGCCTATCTACTATAATGGAGAAGTTTATGACTCGGAGGAATTAGTTTGAATCGGGGACTAGTCCAAAATGATATACCACGAGCTCTCCCAAGCATTCAACTTACAAGCTAGGCCATTTAATGCTCCATTAAAAAAATTAGGACCAACGACATTCCATGTCGAGACATCTTACCCCACCGGTAGTTTGCTTATCCTATGGATCCTCGGGTCCCATAAATGCCCGGCATACCCACTACGAACCTCACTCGCCGAAGAAACTACCAAGTACAAGGTAGCAAAAAGATCGATTATAGATAAACTATCTACCATCGAGGAACACTTGAAGGCTACAAAGGGGAATGATGTCTATGATCCCGCCTGTGTCGCTAAAATGTGTTTAATTCCTAACATGGTAATCTTGAGGAAATTCAAGGTGTTAGATTTTGTTAACTAAACTGAAACCTAATGTCATATGACCCACTCGAGGGTTTACTATAGTAAAATGACAAAAGTAGTACACGATGAAAAACTACTTATACATTTTTTCTATGAGAGCCTAAGTGGATCAACTTTAAGTTGATATATGAGGTTAGAAGGGTCTAAGATCGGGATATAAAAAGATCTAGCCGATGTTTTTCTCAAACAATACAAGTTTAACATGGAGATAGCTCCGAATCGATCGGATCTTTAAAGAATTAAAAAAGAGGCTAAAGAGACCATTAAGTAGTATGCACAAAAATGACACAAGGTAGCGAGTTTAGATCCATATGCCATTGCCGAGTCGAGTTAGTCTCTATATTTTCAAATACTTTCAAAGCACTTTACTTTAAGTATTTGATTGGTAATACTTCAACTAATTTCATGGATACAATGGTCGTGGCTGAAAGAGTAAAGTTATCTATTAAAGCAAAAAAGATCTCTCGAAGGAGTAGAGAAAAAGACAAACATGGGAATTAAGAGAAGGGAAGGTGAAGTCTATCAAGTGGCCACTTATAAACCCCAAAGCCATTTGGATAACTCTACACAACCACCACCTTACCTCCAACCCTCATACCAAACACATTCTATAGCCGTCAACATTCCCATCATTCAAACAAGACCACAAACACAAAATCAAAACTACCCATCTTTCTAACCAAATCTAGCACCCTAATATCATCTAGCTACACCCATTTACCAAAATAACCATTCTCCACATTCAGATCGGACCACCTCACGATCCTTTAAATTTTAACTAAACACCACACAACCAGTTCACTCGCAATAATAATTATAACATAGAAGACTATGAATCATTCTCATCCCTTTCATTCTCTTCGAAAGAGTTATTTCACTTGGTTGGTTAATATAGGATAAATGGTTCTTATTCTTGTAGAACCCGTGCGACCTCATTTCCTACCAAGGTATAAAAACAATGAGCAATATGAATACTATAGTGGTATCATTGGACATTTCATTGAAGACTATTTAGTTTTTAAGAGAAAAGTGAGGTTTCTCATTAAATATAACTCGGATAAGCTTTGATAATTCGAGCACACTCAATGTCAACACTAATTCACTTTCAAATCATGCTACTAGAAGTGGCAATGTTAGTATAATAACTCTCGAAAAGGATGGAGTTCAATCGAGGAGAGAAGAAGGTGAAGGTATCCATAAAAAAGATATACATAATTCTATCCCAAAATGATTACCTCGTAAAACCAATTGATTACCAAGTCGAAGATGATAAAAAATAGTATTATTGATATCATCGGACGGAGAGGCATGATATCAATAAATGTGAGAAATTCTGCAAGGATGTGGAAACTATATTAATTCTAGGAACTTTATAATTAGAGAATGTATAAAAGGAGTAGTTTGTAGGAATGGTCTCACCTCAAGAGGTAAGTCATAATGAGTTATGTCGGTACCAATCGATGAACAACGAGCCTCCGAGGATGATTCTAACGATCCTAAAGATCTACACAGCCTCCACCCTACAATGCGATCAATCATAACTATCTAGTTATGAATATGTTTACCGGTAATAATGTTGTAAGCCTTACTCGAGTGAACGTTATTATATATTGAAAGAGTTAGAAGTGTCAAGAAAGATAAAAGGCAATGAAATAATAGACATCACTAAGACAGAAGAGGTAAACAAGCTAGTAGATGATAAAGAGGCAATCGAGTTCCTTAAAGTAATGAAGAATAGTGATTATAGTGTGATAGACCGACCGAAAAAAACACTCGTTAATATCTCTATACTATAACTTATCATGAGCTAAAAACCACATTGAAAAGTATTGCAGATGGTGCTAAATAAGGCATACATCCCTCATGATGTTATTTCGTATACCATGGAGCATTTGGTAGAAAGAATTCGGACTATTAACTACTTGTCATTTATTGAGGATGAATTGGGCCCCGAAGGCACCAAGCATAACAAGCCATTACATATCACAATCAAATGCAAGAACTATATGATTGCTAAAGTGTTAACTAATAATTGTTATACGTTGAATGTCTTACCTAAGATCATCCCGCATCGATTATTGATGGATGCTTCCCATATGTGTCTTAGCAATATGATGGTAAGAGCCTATGATGGTCTCCAAG